GGGATTCGAACACACAATCATAGGTTTCTGGCGTGCCCAAGGGACGCAACTCTGCACAGCGAATCGCGGCGCCTTAGACGACTGGGCCACCCGTGCCCCCCTGTAACATGATGCCAGCAAGGATTCAGTATACTTCATCGCACAAACAGCTTCAACTTCATCGCACAAACAGCTTCAACTTCATCGCACAAACAGCTTCAACTTCATCCACCAAAACCTGTAGCGTATTTTCTTGACAATCACCCGCTTGGTTGCTTTCACATCATAATGAAATCTGGTTTTCGCAGCTTGCACACGTTGGTGTCTGTCTTGAAACCATTGGGGGATTGTACAACCACTGTTATTGAGGAGATCAGCTGCTCGCATTACATATTTCCATCTGTAGAAAGTGGCTCTGTCATCTGTCACACTTTTTGAAATAGAACAAAAGTGTTCCCTGACTTCCGTTAATATTTTCTCTAATAAATTCTCTCCTCACCATTTTTGACGGAAATACAATGCTCAGGTCATGAAGAGATAGTCTAACGCCCTAAAGTTTATCATAAGGACTAGCCACTACGAGAATTCTAGGAAAAGAGTAAATCAGAATGTCTTTTAAGTGAGCAGACTGACGATATTAGGCCAGAGATACTTTTCACACCACATCACAGCATACACTGTCCCACTTCCATGCGTTAAACTGTCTTACACGTTACCCAATCGTTTCTGCTCTGCAGGTGTTGAACATTTTAAAATCTGCTCGGCTGTGTCCCAGTCTCCAAATATCACCGCTTTGCTGTACATGTAATATTGTTCAGCACAGTTAACTTCCTTGTCATCGATATGAATGACAGTAGCGTAGTGTTGACTGAATGGAGAAAACTTGAAATAAAACAGTACGAGCCTACCTGTCATAATTGTTGCAATAACTTGATTCAATATTGATTGGCTGTTGAAAGCGTAAAGCAACCTGACTGGTAAGAATACTTTTTCGCATCATATATATAATTAACTGTTAAAATGATTGGTCCTATTTCACACAAGGTAAACAGAGATTGGTTAGGTAGAACAGGGAAGGGTATTAACATGTGAAGGAAAGATTCATTCACATGAAAGGTAGGATTTCACAGCCATTTTGTCATTTGAGCATCGGCCTCTATTTGGCTTGTGTGGACTGCAGCCCAGACAGCGAATGGGACTTCTCCCAGAAGGCGCTGCCTAGTCAAACCCACCTAGAACTTTTCGGAGAATGTGAAGACTCACTCAACACACACTGCAACCTTCTGCATTACCACCCGGATTGTCAGAAGGGCTGTATTCCTGGCAACAGTGCGTGAGTAGTCTTTTACGCCGCTTTTAGCAATATTCCAGCAATATCACGACCGGGGACACCATAAATGGTCTTTACACATTGTTCCCATGTTGGCAATCGAACCCGGGTCTTCGGCGTGACGAGCGGTTAAACCACAAGGCTACCCGACCGCCCCTCCTGGCTGCAAACCCGGGTTCCTAACCTAAGGCACCGAGAACAATCTGGAGTCGGACAACTTGTCACTTGAGATGCAAGTCTGACGTTTCGAAAGCGAGGTCTGCATATTTGCCATGTTTTTTTCTGAATCTTATCAATCACATTAGTGTCAAAAGAGACAGAAAATTCAATGATATAAATGATTTCATTGGGCTTATCAAAAAGGGCAAGATCAGGTTTGTTGGCCTGGCTAGATCTGAGGCTGTATACTGGCCTATTCCAAAGAATTTTGTATTTATCATTTTCCATGACGCCCTCTACATTTTCTTGGTCGTACCATGGACAGACCTCTGTTTCAAAACCACAAGCATTGCTTAGACGGTAATAAAATGATACTGTGTTTTTGCTAAAGCTGGGCATCCACTGACAATGTGTTGGACAGTCTCATTTAATTCATTGCACAATCTACATTTCGTGTTTACATTATAATGCAAAATCACACATTGACGGTTTCGATGGTTCTTGTTGTCACCCTGTCTGGCGCTCGGCATTGAGGGGCTAAAACAAGGACTGGTCGGCTCGGAGTCAGTATACTGTGTCTGAGTGGGGTATTCATGTGAAACTGCGGCATGGTATCTCTGTGTGCTAGCACTATAAAGCGGCATCAGTCCGGACTAGTACAAGCAGCCACACAAACACACACACGAACATGCACGTTGCTGTATAAGTGCAATAATCTTGGACGCGACGTTTCCCCATTTCCCCTCACCTCACCTTTTAAGGTGCTGAAGGTCTACCAATTATTCTACTCCCGAGCACGAGCTAGACCAATGGTTAAATAGGTCGCGTTGGTGATCATTGCACTTATATAGCTACGTGTGTGTGTGTGTGTGTGTGTGTGTGTGTGTGTGTCCGGACTAATGCCGGTTTTATTGTGCTATCCCACTGATATTTATCAGAGCCGACCAGTCCTTGTTTTATCCCCTTAGCGCGAAGTGTCAGGCAGGGTAACAACAAGTACCATACTTTAACTTATTTTGGTATGACGCCTCCAGGTGATCGAACCACCGACCTTCCGTTCTCCGGGCCGACGCTCTATACTCCACACCACGGAGGCAGTCAATGGTTATATCATTCATTCCTTACGCCGCATGCCTGGGTTTGGGTACAATGTCTATTCTTGGTGTTCCCTGCCGTGATGTGGATGGAATATTGCTATTAGCGGCGTAAAAGCATACTCACTCACAGATGGTGATTCCGAGAGCACTGTTAACAACGCCCAGCCTGCATCTCACTGCTTCCATTCGTCACCACTCGTATCTGTTCGTAACCTGCAAGAAGCATTCGTAACCAACTCGTGCCATTCCGGGGCACGCCGCCTTCGTGTGTCATTCCTATCATATGACGTTTTCTTGAAGGTTACGGAATGATGGGATTGGCGACGATAGATTTTTGTAGGTTACGGAAAGAGACGAGTGATGACGAATGCTGCGAGATCATTCGTGTTGCACCGGAATGATTCGGAAAGGTCACGAGTACCTGCTTCAACACACACGGGACAGTATTGCATGTTTCAGACAGAAGTTAATTACCCAATGTATCTGGGTGTGGCCTTGTGTGTCGGTAACAGGAGAGTTCTGTAAAGTTGGTTTCAGCTATCGCCCTTGATCAGTTGACAAATAGAGATTCTCTTCCCTATTTATTTTTTTGTTTAACGCCGCACTCAACAATATTCTAGCTGTATGACGGTAGTCAGTAAATAAACGAGTCTGGACTAGACAACTCAGTGATTGAGTTCGACGTACACAGACACACACGGGACATAATAATTCTGAGATACATACTCAGACAAACAATCCAATGTTCATTATCGGGGAGTATCTAGTATTTCAACCTACAATTAACTGGTACTCGCATCCGAGCTGGAAGAAGAAGGGGAATCGAACCCCGACCATCATTGGGAAGTCTGGCAAACACAATCGTGCTAACCAACCGCCGTGTCCTAAAGAAGGGTTTGTCTAAGTAGTGTTATACAATCGTAAATCGAGTCCATATGGTTCTCCGGAAGTTTCATTCCAATAAATTGCGGGCAAAAGAAAGTTTACAACCATGTTGGATTGTGGCCAAAATGAAAAAGAAACCAAATGGTTATTGGGTCGTAATGTGTTTGATACGGGTATCACAGTTGTGTTTTGGGTCGTAATGTGTTTGATACGGGTATCACAGTTGTGTTTTGGGTCGTAATGTGTTTGATACGGGTATCACAGTTGTGTTTTGGGTCGTAATGTGTTTGATACGGGTATCACAGTTGTGTTTTGGGTCGTAATGTGTTTGATACGGGTATCACAGTTGTGTTTTGGGTCGTAATGTGTTTGATACGGGTATCACAGTTGTGTTTTGGGTCGTAATGTGTTTGATACGGGTATCACAGTTGTGTTTTGGGTCGTAATGTGTTTGATACGGGTACCACAGTTGTGTTTTGGGTCGTAATGTGTTTGATACGGGTATCACAGTTGTGTTTTGGGTCGTAATGTGTTTGATACGGGTACCACAGTTGTGTTTTGGGTCGTAATGTGTTTGATACGGGTATCACAGTTGTGTTTTGGGTCGTAATGTGTTTGATACGGGTATCACAGTTGTGTTTTGGGTCGTAATGTGTTTGATACGGGTATCACAGTTGTGTTTTGGGTCGTAATGTGTTTGATACGGGTATCACAGTTGTGTTTTGGGTCGTAATGTGTTTGATACGGGTATCACAGTTGTGTTTTGGACCTTGTGTTTGAAATGTTCGGAGACTCTTTCAGGTTAGTAGCGTTTTATTAACGTTTGTAACTTTTTTTTATCAAAACCATTTTTCAAATTGTTTACTTTCTTTTGCCCGGCAGTTTTGGTTCAGCCCGTAGTAATTTCAATCATTTTGAGATAACGTTGCAGCGTGGAACAGACGTTTTACTTCTGGATTGCGAATTGATATAAATAAGTAAAAGAACGTTTGAAACCACTATTTCATTTTGGACATCTCTGGTCATTTTGAGGGTGCATTTTGTGCAAGTAAAACTGACGCAACTATGGATCATTATGTAAACTTATAGAGAAATGATAAAACATAACATGGTTAAAGTCGGAGAAATCACTCGAATCTGTTACGGAAGTGGAATCAATCCGGAATTCGGAAGTAGTATCCGGAATAGAAACCTATCCGTTCATTCGAGATTGCTCTTTCGTGGATGTACGTTTGGTTTCCCTCGAGCTTTTTGCCAAGAACTGTAACATTTAAAATTCTGTCTCCCTCTGTTCCAAATGAGAGAGTGAGTATTTTTTACGCAATATTCCTGCAATATCACGACGGGGACACCGGAAATGGCCTTCACACATTGTACCTGGGGCTTCGGCGTGACGAGAGAACGGGGCTACCCCGTTCCAAATAAATTAGCCAGCATTAAATAATCCCAAACGCCCGCAAATTTAAGACACAGTATGTTTGCCATCACTGCGTTATCTGAACGAAATATCATATTCTTATTTCAAATATATACAGTCAAGGTTGTTGGGATGGACTCAGAAATCAATGATTCATGACTCAAAGGTATATATATATATATATTAGATTTAATATCATTTTTTCAAGACATCCAACATGTTCAGTATACATTTATGGTTGCGACAAAGACCTGAGGAAAACATATTTTCTTTCAGTTTTGGGCAATTCTTTGGGTTTTTTCAGAATAACAAATGACAAATGCTTAAAAACGATAAAAATGCCTGAAAATCGGCACATGATGTGACACACAGTCCTCCTGCAAGATCAGAGTGAGTGAGTGAGTGAGTTGGGTTTAACGCTGCTTTGAACAGTATTTCAGTTATAGCACGGCGTGTCAGTTTGATGTGGGAGGATAACCCGAAGTGATGCAGGTCTTAGGCGTTCACCACTTTGTTAAAACCCACAGGCACGGACTTGGTGCTGACAAACCTAGAAACATATTCGGGACGAACGGGGATTCGAACCAACGATCATAGGATTCTGGCGTGCCCAGGGACCCAACTCGGTTCAGCGAATTGCGGCGTCTTATGATATACATGTTATCTGTGTCTTATATTCGCCATGGACAACGCGTCACTAGGTATATGTCGAGCCCGTAGTCTTAACAACAACATTTTTGCAGACTCCTTGTACGATCGGTTCGAGAAGTAATATATTAAAGGATTCAGCATTGAATTGACATAGCCTAGCCACACGACCAGTCCATACACCTTGTCTGATATTTTATAGCCCAGGAATGGATTGGCCACGGTGACAATTTCCGACGGGAGCCAACATACGCTGAACGCTACCAGGATGATTCCAATGGTTTTGGCAGCTTTCAGTTCCTGCTTAACACTCTTTCCACTCGTCCCGTTGTCGCTCACCGACAGAGTTCTGATCAGAACAGCTTGTTTTCTAGCCTCGTAGAAAATCTTGAGATAACACACCATGATTATAATGAGGCAAATTACAAATGTCATGAAAGTTGCAAGTGAATATGTTTTGTTGGCGAAAAAAGTACAGTGACCCATGGTTGAGCCTAATGGTAATGCGCATGCGTACCAGTCCTCCAATCCGATTCGATAAAGCTCACTCATGATTGGTAGGAAGGAAAAGCCGATGGGAGCGATCCATGACGTCATTAGCATGAATATGACGCTTTTCTTTCCAACTCGTTCGTAGAAGAATGGGTAACTTACACTTAAACATCGGTCTATCGCCATGAATGACACGTGGAATATTGATAATGTACACAGGTAGACATCAAACGAATTCAACAATAAACACACGAAGTCGCCAATGTGCCACGTAAGGCTTGTATACATTAAGTATGTGCTAAGCGGCATTGGTCCAAGCGCTATTAAAAGGTCTGCGACTGCAAGGGAGAAAACCAAAATATTTGTTTTTGTTCTACGCGACCTGTTGAAGCAGACGATCATGATAACGAGGCTGTTATCCAAGATGGCGACCAACGTAATTAGAACCATCAATGTGCATATTACTATCCTCGCTTCCAGCTGGAATCTCGTTGCTGGAGGAGGGCCCTCCAAGAGAATTCTTGCACACGCGTCGTCCGAAATAGTTCCCGATTTGTTCCCTAAGTCTAAACTATTGTTCATGTTGATTATTAGTGAAATCACATGTTGATGTGTTTGTGAATACGATATGGAAAACATTCGGAATACGAAGCTATGGCACACTACTTCCTGATTAGACTTTACCCTAGGGCAACAAAGACATCAGAGTTTGTTTTTGTGACGTCACAGAAAACGTGATCACACCCTCACAACATGACGGCACATCTGATAAATCCAGATATGAAGATGTGCCGTAAACGAAAGAGTCCTTCTAATTAATCGGAGTATTGTATTAGCGCGAGTAGAATCGTTACAAATCCACAGGAATTGACGTTAACCACTGACGTCATATCTCTTCAGGCAAATGTCCGTCGTTGAAGCAATCAATCATAGGGACTGGTAGCACAACAAACACAATTTTCGATTAGTCTTTTGATCACTTAGAGTGACCTACCTTCCTTGACGACCATCTGTCGCCACCAGGTGTCGCTGTCTTTCCTTCTGAATCACTTGGTGACTATTTACGCTCCAAGAAATCACTGCACGTTGTAATATTTTCTCCAAGTAAATGATCCAATAACAATAGCACACAATCAGCAATAAAATGCATGTTCAAAGCTGATGGTTACGTCCTCACAAGTGCAAGAGAATAATATATGGTATAGTTGCCGGGAAATCGTACGAAACACATCAGATAAACTCAAAGATAACCCGGTTATCACATGTCCAAAGCTGACACTTCATAACATTTAACATCCTTTCCAGGAGTACACGGAAATAGACTTATTACACCATACACACTGTTAATGGCACCACACACGTGCTTCCAATTGCTGTCCAGCTGCGCTCACGAATGCTCAATGGCTATTTGGATACCTCCATATAGTATATCCCACACAAGATGCTGTACTGTTATCCCGTTATGGTTTACCACGTGTGGATCAGCTGTAATCAAACTGACTGGTCAGTGCTCTTGAGGTGAGAAATGGTCGATGGATAAGATTGCTCATACGGGAATGTTCCAACAATAGGCCGTTATCAGCATTGGTTTCCGAGCTCAACTTTCAGTGCATGGTTGATACTATTCAGGTCACCTATGACGTAGAGAAATGGTTGATATATTTTTAATATGCACTAACGGTGATCATATTCCCCACTTTGAGTGTTATCGGTGGTACTGTTATTCAAGAGGAATGTTTGAGACATATCCTGGTTCCTTATTTCACACAACAGTAGCAGCAAGGTGACGGATTGAGATGTCAGGCTCCATATATAAACAGCATGCCATCAACACATTTTCAATTGCACTTGAGAACCTGTTAAATTATTTTCGTTATTTAAATAATCCCACTTTAAAGCATAAGATTTAGCTTCTCTTTGAAAGCAAGATATTGTACGTTTTGTTGCTTTAAAAGCTGGTGATTAGCTTTCACTAAATGAACTGATTTCCTTCTCCTTCAAAAGCTGTTGGTTTACTTTCACTTTATAAGATATTCACAAAATTCAAACCCAATAACTGGGGATAAATTTCCACTTAAAAGCCTCTAGATGTTATTCTATTGTAAACTCTCTTGACGCCCTTCGTCTCACAAAATGCTGAATTATTCCACATGAACAAAATGTAGTAAAGTTCCACTGTTCCACGTAATCCTGCTCAGTGAGATCCCTTTGGATCACTTTTGATCACCTTTCATCACTTTTGATGGACTGGTGATGCAATTCCAATGCAATGACTTCCCAGAAAAAAAGCACAGGGCCCGAATCGCAGATTATCCTCTTAATGCAGACATTGCCTGTTATTCCTTCTGGAAACAATCCTCTGAACAAATTCAACTTTTTTCTTTGGAGACCACAAGCTCATATCATATTGAACAGGTCTTTCAACTTCCTGCGATCGCGTTAATCCAGAATACCGCAACGGTAATGAATCCTGAATGTGTCAATGTCCAAATGATGGGTCTTTTCACAATGCTCACATTTTCCTTGCATACCTAGAAATGACATTCGTAAGAATTGCTTCAAAACTCCCGAGCAGGTTGTAAGTATACGGTAAACGGCGCCGCGTCTTAATTATTAATGATATACAAATTATAAACACTTACTTTCCAGCATACTCTTTCATACTGCATATGATATGCTCTAATTAGGGAAATCGGGTAATAACCCATCCATCATAACGCACACCATGTAATCAGCATTTACGTCCTGGTAACATGTAGTTGCTCTTGCCTATGGATGAGGAGCTCAAACTATCTGGTGTTTTGAGGTAGAGATAACACATTGAAATATCCATCACATGAGCGTGTTTTTCACGTGTTCCTTTGTTGTTTATTCCACGTCATTTGTATGTATATCGATGTTTGGATTGAGGTCATAAAATATCTGACATGTTAACAATGCCAGAGGCCAAGACACTCAAGGTGTCTTAATTGACACATGTTTACATCTCGAATCAAAAGAATCCATTTCACGGATGAAATCGCAGGTACCACATCCCGAACTAACGCATTGTCACTGTCATTTCTGAATTATCCAACCTCCTGATTAGAAGAATGAAATCGAATATATTAGAAGCGCTGAGATAGATTGACCGTTAATGATGAAGAACTTTCTTTCGGAAATATCGTTAATGGAACAAAGTGATTCTAAACTACTTTTTCTGTTAACAACGAACTAATCGGATCAATTGCATAATTCTCCCAAATTAGTGATTGTCATTGATGGGTTCACTTTGGAACCGGAAATCCCGATTCCGCTTTCATCCATTAATCCATAATCTGTAGTATCATATAACACGCTGTTCGATCGATACTATCGAGAAATCTATTCCGTTCTCATTCCACACTCCTATCTTCTTAGATGTTAAACTTGAATTGATTGCATACGTAGTACCACAGATGGTTTCAGCATACCAGTCAGTCATTACCATTCTTCGAACGTACACTTAACTGGGTCCTTTCCGCCTTTCGAATCCAAAGTTATTTAGCATGTAGAATTGATATTGCCGTTTTGTGTAGTTTTCTCTGTCTGAAGTGTCGAAGATCTGGACATTTCCTGAATACATGTAAACCATTAGCCGTTTACAAATTCAGAAAGAAGATATTGGTTTCCACATATGATTTGTCAATTCCAGTTGTTTTAAACATAGTTATCACTGCAGCCATTAGAACTGATTGCTAATGACAGCCTGTTTGAATATTTCCATATGAGGCACTTATAACGACCTTGTATTGTCTTGATATACTTGAAATTAGGCTAATCAGCTTCTGTTCGGTGTCACTTGGTGTCACATCAGTGGAATGGTACCTTTCAAAACAATAATCACATACTGGAGAAACGAGCTGTTTATACAACCCAGTTCTGTTAAACATGAAGAATACCTTCACATGGTTCCTTGGTATTCCACAGGGACAATAGAGTCAGAATAAATATTGATAAATATAAGCATAACATCTTCGGTTTTACTTTATCAACGGCAACATGTTCAGGTCAGCTCTGCGCAGATTGCTTTCATTGACGTCCGCGCCATTGGCCTCTTAACGGTTGTTTCCTCTGAGGTCCGCGCAGACAGTTTTCGATTAGTTTCATGAGAGCATTAGCAGTTGGTTCTATAAGGGTTGCTTTTCTCAGTTCATAATCTGTAATAGAAATATTTGAAAATATAAACACTAAACAAAAACAATTGACAACATCGTATTCAACTATTAATTTCGGCATGTGTGCGTGTTACTCCTCACTAAGAAAGATCTAACATAAACAATAAAGATATCTGATCGATACGATCTCTGGTCCCTGTGTATGAAGCAAAACAGAAAGTGTGCTTGATACTTCAGATTACATTGCCTAACTGATTAAATCGCTTTGAATCTATTAAATGTCCTGACCTGGCTCGGTTTACCGATATAAATCGACTGTTCTAGAAACAGTTGCAATATCGATTCCAGAGGAGGTAATTCAATAAAGAGAACAGCCAATCTTATGTAACAGTGCATATTGATTGTGGGCGCAGTGCGATCACACTGCGTTTATGTTATTCAGTTAGGCTACTGCCATGAAGAGAGATACTTTATGCGTACATGCATCTAGCGAGACTTAGAGAGACTTGAGAGAGAAAAGAGGGAGAGAGGAGAGATAGAAAGAGAGAGACACACAGAGAGAGAACAGAGAGAGAGCAATAGAGAGAGGAAAAGAGGAGAGAGATAATGAGATCAAGAGAGAGAGAAGGGAGAGATAGAGGAGGGAGAGGTAGGGAGAGGAGATAAAGTGAGAGATACAGAGAGAGAGAGAGATATAAGGAGAGGTAGAGGATGGATAGGTAGAGAGGGAGATGAGAGAGATAGTGAGAGATACATACACAGAGAAGATAGAGGTAGAAGAGAGATAGAGAGAGATAGTGAGAGATACATAGAGAGAGAAGGAAGAGGTAGAGGAGGGAGAGGTAGAGAGAGAGGAGAGAGACAGTGAGCGATACACACACACACAGAGAAGGGAGAGGTAGAGAGTGAGGAGAGAGACAGTGAGAGATACACAGAGAGAAATGGGAAAGGTAGAGGAGGGAGAGAGGAAAGGTAGAGAGATGGGCGAGAAGTAGAGAGAGATAGTAAAAGAAGCGATAGAGAGATAGTGAGAGAGGCGATAGCGAGAAAGATGAGAGAGGTAGAGAGAGAGAGGGGGAGAGAGGTAGATAGAGAGAGGGGAGAGGTAGAGAGAGGGGGAGAGGTAGATAGAGAGAGGGGAGACAGGTAGAGAGAGGGGGAGAGGGAGGGGGAGAGGTAGAGAGAGGGGGGGAGAGGGGGAGAGGTAGATAGAGAGAGGGGAGAGGTAGAGAGAGAGGGGAGAGGTAGATAGAGAGAGGGGAGAGGTAGATAGAGAGAGGGGAGAGGTAGAGAGAGAGGGGAGAGGTAGAGAGAGAGGGGAGAGGTAGATAGAGAGAGGGGAGAGGTAGAGAGAGTGGGGAGAGGTAGAGAGAGAAGGGAGAGGTAGATAGAGAGAGGGGAGAGGTAGAGAGAGAGAGGAGAGGTAGATAGAGAGAGGGGAGACAGGTAGAGAGAGAGGGGAGAGGTAGAGAGAGAGGGGAGAGGTAGATAGAGAGAGGGGAGAGGTAGAGAGAGATGGGGAGAGGTAGAGAGAGAGGGGAGAGGTAGATAGAGAGAGGGGAAACAGGTAGAGAGAGTGGAGAGGTAGAGAGAAAGGGGAGAGGTAGATAGAGAGGGGAGACAGGTAGAGAGAGAGGGGAGACAGGTAGAGAGAGAGGGGAGACAGGTAGAGAGAGGGGGGGAGAGGTAGAGAGAGAGGGGAGAGGTAGATAGAGAGGGGAGAGGGAGAGAGAGAGGGGAGAGGTAGAGAGAGAGGGGAGAGGTAGATAGAGAGAGGGGAGACAGGTAGAGAGAGGGGAGAGGTAGAGAGAGTGGGGAGAGGGAGAGAGAGAGGGGAGAGGTAGATAGAGAGGGGAGACAGGTAGAGAGAGAGGGGAGACAGGTAGAGAGAGAGGGGAGACAGGTAGAGAGAGGGGGGAGAGGTAGAGAGAGAGGGGAGAGGTAGATAGAGAGGGGAGAGGGAGAGAGAGAGGGGAGAGGTAGAGAGAGAGGGGAGAGGGAGAGAGAGAGGGGGGGAGGTAGAGAGAGTGGAGAGGTAGAGAGAAAGGGGAGAGGTAGATAGAGAAGGGAGACAGGTAGAGAGAGAGGGGAGACAGGTAGAGAGAGGGGAGAGGTAGAGAGAGAGGGGAGAGGTAGATAGAGAGAGGGAGAGAGGTAGATAGAGAGAGGGGAGAGGGGAGAGAGGTAGATAGAGAGAGGGGAGAGAGGTAGAGAGAGAGGGGGAGAGGTAGATAGAGTGAGGGTTGAGGTAGATAGAGAGAGGGGAGAGGGAGAGAGAGAGGGGGAGAGGTAGAGAGAGGGGAGAGGTAGATAAGGAGGGGAGACAGGTAGAGAGAGTGGGGGAGAGGTAGATAGAGAGGGGAGAGGTAGAGAGAGAGGGGAGACAGGTAGATAGAGAGAGGGGAGAGGTAGAGAGAGAGGGGAGAGGGAGAGAGAGAGGGGGGGAGGTAGAGAGAGTGGAGAGGTAGAGAGAAAGGGGAGAGGTAGATAGAGAAGGGAGACAGGTAGAGAGAGAGGGGAGACAGGTAGAGAGAGAGGGGAGACAGGTAGAGAGAGGGGAGAGGTAGAGAGAGAGGGGAGATGTAGATAGAGAGGGGAGAGGGAGAGAGAGAGGGGAGAGGTAGAGAGAGAGGGGAGAGGTAGATAGAGAGAGGGGAGACAGGTAGAGAGAGGGGAGAGGTAGAGAGAGTGGGGAGAGGGAGAGAGAGAGGGGAGAGGTAGATAGAGAGAGGGGCGACAGGTAGAGAGAGGGGGAGAGGTAGAGAGAGAGGGGGAGAGGTAGATAGAGAGAGGGGGAGAGGTAGAGAGAGAGGGGGAGAGGTAGATAGAGAGAGGGGAGACAGGTAGAGAGAGGGGGAGAGGGGGAGAGGTAGATAGAGAGAGGGGAGACAGGTAGAGAGAGGGAAGAGGTAGATAGAGAGGGAGACAGGTCGAGAGAAGGGAGAGGTAGATAGAGAGGGGGAGAGGTAGAGAGAGAGGGGAGACATGTACATAGAGAGAGGGGAGAGGTAGATAGAGAGAGGGAGAGAGGTAGATAGAGAGAGGGGAGAGGGGAGAGAGGTAGATAGAGAGAGGGGAGAGAGGTAGAGAGAGAGGGGGAGAGGTAGATAGAGTGAGGGTTGAGGTAGATAGAGAGAGGGGAGAGGGAGAGAGAGAGGGGGAGAGGTAGAGAGAGGGGAGAGGTAGATAAGGAGGGGAGACAGGTAGAGAGAGAGGGGGAGAGGTAGATAGAGAGGGGAGAGGTAGAGAGAGAGGGGAGACAGGTAGAGAGAGAGAGGGGGAGAGGTAGATAGAGAGAGGGGAGAGGTAGAGAGAGGGGAGAGGTAGATAAGGAGGGGAGACAGGTAGAGAGAGAGGGGAGAGGGAGAGAGAGAGGGGGGGAGGTAGAGAGAGGGGAGAGGTAGATAAGGAGGGGAGACAGGTAGAGAGAGAGGGGGAGAGGTAGATAGAGAGGGGAGAGGTAGAGAGAGTTTGGAGACAGGTAGAGAGAGAGGGGGAGAGGTAGATAGAGAGGGGGAGAGGTAGAGAGAGAGGGGAGACATGTAGATAGAGAGAGGGGAGAGGTAGATAGAGAGAGGGAGAGAGGTAGAGAGGTAGATAGAGAGAGGGGTGAGAGGTAGAGAGAGAGGGGGAAAGGTAGATAGAGAGAGGGGTGAGGTACATAGAGAGAGGGGAGAGGGGAGAGAGGTAGATAGAGAGAGGGGAGGGGGTAGAGAGAGAGGGGGAGAGGTAGATAGAGAGAGGGGAGAGGTAGATAGAGAGAGGGGAGAGGGGAGAGAGGTAGATAGAGAGAGGGGAGAGAGGTAGAGAGAGGGGGGAGAGGTAGATAGAGAGAGGGGTGAGGTAGATAGAGAGAGGGGAGACAGGTAGAGAGAGAGGGGAGAGGGAGAGAGAGAGGGGAGAGGGAGAGAGAGAGGGGAGAGAGGGGGAGAGGTAGATAGAGAGAGGGGAGAGAGGTAGATAGAGAGAGGGGAGAAAGGAGAGAGAGAGGGGAGAGGTAGATAGAGAGAGGGGTGAGGTAGATAGAGAGAGGGGAGACAGGTAGAGAGAGAGGGGAGAGGGAGAGAGAGAGGGGGAGAGGTAGAGAGAGAGGTGGAGAGAGAGGGGAGAGAGGGGGAGAGGTAGATAGAGAGGGGGAGAGGTAGAGAGAGAGGGGAGAGGGAGAGAGAGAGGGGGAGAGGTAGAGAGAGAGGGGGGCGAAGGGGAGAGGTAGATAGAGAGGGGGAGAGGTAGAGAGAGAGGGGAGAGAGGTAGAGAGAGAGGGGGAGAGGTAGAGAGAGAGGGGGAGAGGTAGAGAGAGAGGGGAGAGGGAGAGAGAGAGGGGAGAGGGAGAGAGAGAGGGGGAGAGGTAGAGAGAGAGGTAGATAGGTAGAGAGAGAGGGGAGAGAAGGGGAGAGGTAGATAGAGAGGGGGAGAGGTAGAGAGAGAGGGGAGAGAGGTAGAGAGAGAGGGGAGAGAGGTAGAGAGAGATAGTGAGAGAGAGGCGATAGAGAGAGATAGTGAGAGAGGAGGCAGAGATAGAGGAGAGAGGTAGAGAGAGAGGGGGGGAGGTAGATAGAGAGGGGGCAAATGTAGAGAGAGACAGTGAGAGAGGCGTTAGAGAGATATTGAGACAGGCGGCAGAAATAGAGGAGAGAGGGGGAGAGAGGTAGACAGAGAGAGGGGAGAGGTAGAGAGAGATAGGGAGAGAGAGGCGATAGCGAGATAGAGAGAGATAGTGAGAGAGGAGGCAGAGATAGAGGAGAGGGGAGAGAGGTAGATAGAGAGAGGGGAGAGAGAGAGAGAGAGAGAGAGAGGTGGGAGAGGTAGAGAGAGCGGAGAGAGAGATAAAGAGAGAGGGAAGATAGGGAGATACATGGAGAGGTAGAGAGAGAGAGAGGGGAGAGGTAGAGAGAGGGGGAGAGAGAGAGAGAGAGAGAGAGAGAGAGAGAGAGAGAGGTGGGAGAGGTAGAGAGAGCGGAGAGAGAGATAAAGAGAGAGGGGAGATAGGGAGATACATGGAGAGGTAGAGATAGAGAAGGGGAAAGAGGTAGAGCGATACAAAGAGAGAGGAAAGGGTGAGAGAAGTCGAGAGAGAGAGGGTAGAGGTAGAGAGAGATAGAGAGAGAGAGGAGGGAGAGATAGAGGGCAGAGGTAGAGAGAGAGAGAGAGAGAATCATCGATTACCACTTTTAACATATACTTGGTTGGGGCTACATTTTATTATTCGTGATTGTGTATGGAGCAAAGACATCATGTCTAGCATACAATAACACTCTGCTCAAAAGTTTTCTGGATCGTATACGTAATAGTCTCAAAGATGCTCGTAAGAGAAAAGACTCAAAAGATAGACAAGACAGTGGTAGGCAAAAGAAAGAAAACGATAAAATGCTCGTAGGTCCACTTTGGGTGCTTTAAAAAAGAAATCATTTTCTGGGTACGACCAGTCATTTCCTAGACTACAAACCCCAGTTTATCGTAAAACTAAAACAAAACCAAGTTGATTGCAATTGGGGCCATCATTAAACATTGATGAAAGCCGTTTCCTGATTTATCGATATCGTGCTAAGTTTAAGTAAACCCAACCCAACTGATTGGGTCAGTGTTACTGACATGTCTGGTTCGCCCTTTGCATATCTGAAACAGATACAGCAAAATCCGTTTACCTTGGAGCTAATTCATCTTTCATAAACGTGTATCTTATTCTTAGTTCTACCGAACCCAATTGGGCATATCGACTTGAGATAGCGGTTGTATTCGGGCGATAGGTTCCTTATTCGCGAGCAATATTTTACTCCGCGAAATATATAATGTTCGGCGTAATGTCCACGCTAGTCCTGTGCAATGACTGTGGAAATATTATATAGTTTACTGAAGTAAGTCTCTGGTTTCCTTGATTCCACATTAACAGCAGAGCAGGAAAGGTTCTTTTGAAAAAAATGAATTACAATTATCTGAATGAAACGCTTTATTAGTCTATGTTCATGCAAACAATGCTATAAACCCAGTAGAGCTAATTCATTTTCATTATCGTGTAGCTTCTACCGAACCCGGGGCGGTCGGGTAGCCTAGTGGTTAAAGCGTTCGCTCGTCACGCCGAAGACCCGGGTTCGATTCCCGACATGGGTACAATGTGTGAAGCCCATTTCTGGTGTCCCCCGCCGTGATATTGCTGGAATATTGCTAAAAGCGGCGTAAAACCATACTCACTCACATTCACTCTACCGAACCCAAATGGGCATATCCACTTGAGATGCAAGTTGTATTCGGGCGATATGTTCTTTATTCGCGAACGATGTTTACCCCACGAAAGAAATATTGTTCGGTGTAATGCTCATGCAAAAATGCTATAAACAGAGTAGTCGCCATGGTAACATGTAAATACTAAATGTTTCATAGAGGTCGACTCGAGCACGGCCACAGAGACTGTCCTGCTTAGGAGGCATGTATCAGCACCGACATGTCGCAACAGAGATTGACATTTAGTCCCAGAAATAAAGTTATCTTTTTTATAAATATATATTTTTAGGGCTGTCGTTCACATAAATTGGTGGTTATTATGATCCCGTTGTACATAGAGCCACAAAAAAAATATTCTTTTTCATATTAATATTTTAGTTCTCATTGATAAGGGAACACGGTTCAAAAGTGAACGTTTATTGTCATGTACGGTAAGAGGATATCGGCAGTTAAACAAAAGATAACTGTCTGTCTGAATAGATTCATCACACATAAAAGGGCAATCTGTTTGTGAAGGGCTTCAACCGCATTGAAATCAGATCTTTTACTCCGATAAGATTCCTGTCGGCGTGGAGCTTGTCAGCTTTCTAAAACGACTGATTTTCATTTTGTTTAACCCCTCGACTAGGAAATTTTGATGGGGACATCGCACTTTCACCCTGGATGTAAATAGAACCCGAGCGTTGGCATGACGAGCCAACTGTTAACCTTTTAGCTACCCCACTCTCCTCATGGTATAGCCCTTGGGTGAAACAAGTTTTAGCTTAGCAATATCACGGCGCGGATACCTGCAATGGGCTTCTCACATTGTACCCATGTGGGGAATCGAACCAAGGCCTTCGGCGTAACGAGCGAACGCCTTAACCACTATGCTACCCCGGGCCACCGCCCCCTTAAATATGAAAATGTCGTGTATTTGAAAGTAGTCTATGTCAAGTGAGTATCGACTGTTTTCTATCTACATTGTTTACAAAGTGTTTAGAGCACGTGTTATTATTTTTGTTAGCCACAAAGGGAACGTGCGGTTATTGTTTTTTTTCTGAATGTTGTTGAGTTCTTTTCGGAATTGACAAATTAGCCAAGTAAACGTGAGATGCCATTAAAGCAAAAGTTGAGAGAGAGTTAGATTGTAGAAGATCTAATCAATACCGTGGAGTCGTTCATCATCCCCAACGTCAACTAAACTGCGCAGCGTTGTTGAGTGTAGAGGATGGCATTTCTCTTAGATGTGCATCCCTGGTCTTTCACATGTTAGAGAGAGACACGACCTTTCACTGCTCTCTTTAATTCCTGTGCAACGAAGCTACTTTAGATCACATACTTTCTTTGTCTATGAACGGCATGACATTTCACCCTTGTTCAAGATAACGGTAAACGGTTTACTCCTTATTCAAGATAACAGTTCGACATAACGGTAAACGCATCTAAAGCATCTGTTGAATCCTTTTACGTTTTTGTGTGTGTAGGTGTTAATTTTATCATCAGGAACACGTTAACTGACAAACAGGGCCTTTATGCTTTGACGGATAGCAATCCAGTTTTGAGAAATAATGTCTATCCTCTGATTTTAACTCAAGAGTTTTCAAAATTATCCATTTATAGGGAAAAGGGGGCTCTTGGTTACCCTAGGAGTCATGTAAGTATCAGGGATCTAGTTTGGGCCAACACTTTTCATCTTATAACAGACTACGTGGTGTAGTGGATAAAGCGTTTGCCTGGAGAACGGAAGATCGGTGGTTCGACCCCCTGGCTGCGTCTTGCCAAAATACGTCAAAAGATGGTACTTGTTGTTATCTTGCCTGGCGCTCGGTATTAAGGGGATAAAACAAGTACTGGTCGGCGTGGAGTCGGTGACCATCGGTACTTTCTGGATGTAAAGAATGCGCCATGGTTCTCCACAAACGTGCAGGACAACGTGTATACATAACCATGAATGATGGATGAAGCTCCTCGATGGCCCAACCAACGCATGCCAGTTGATTCAGTGGGGCGGTGAGGCAGGGTAGTGGTTAATGCGTTCGCTCGACACGCCGGAGGCCTGGGTTCGATTCCACACATGTATCCACTGAGATATGGGGGATTATTGCTAAAAGCGGCGTCAAACCATACTCACACATTTATACAGTGGAACATTGAATACAGCACCCCGCGTCGATTATTAACAGGCAGCTGAAATACTGCTGACTGCGGCGTAAACCAACATTCACTCACTCCAGTAGAGTTGGCAGTATTGGCTAACGTAAACAACAATTCATCTGGTTGATCTTTATATGAACTTATCGAAACGCTGAAGTAACACATTTTGAAATTACGTTAAAACAATTTTAGATCGGTATGTACATAAAATGCTGATGTTAAAGATACATCACGTTCTAGAGAGTGTGATGACCTCGCAATATATGCACAACATCATGCTTGGTCTTCTCAATTACTTTGTTCACTGAGTTTAAATGTTAAGAAACCCTAGTTACAGTTTTCAACGAGTAATAAACACTCAGTAAGGTCAGTAGGCGATGTGGCCATTAGCCCTTTGAATTCTCAATTTAGAAATCTTTTTTAATCCTAACATATCCTTGAAATGACTTTTTATTTGATTCACTTGCCCGAATTACTTTTAACATATCCTCTTTTTGTGCATTTTGATAATTCGTTTACCAAGTCTCATGAATCAAAAGGCGCCCTACAGCTCCACAGTTGCCCTGGGAGAGATATCGACGCACTCACTCAGCAAATGCTGCATATAGCTGAACGTGAGACAAGGGTGAAACAGGATCTATCTGTGAGCCCCCCTCCATCACTCATGAACACACACACACACACACACACACACACACACACACACACACACACACACACACACACACACACACACACACAATGGCCATGGTGCTACATAATAAATGTTTTCATTTTCAAAAGGCATAGTCGGTGTATTATAGTTGCATATCTTCGATATTTAATATAAGTACGAGCGCACGCAAAACCAAGTTCACATAATATTCGATACTTTCTACATTAATATTAATTGACCATTTCGTTTCGCTAGACACTTGACATTTCTATAATTATCCAACACGAACGCAAGCATAAGCCTAAACAAAATAGCAAAATACTTATCTGGATAAGATGGGTTGTCGGGAGTTTTCACTCACTCACTCTCCACGCTATTGAGTTCTCGTCACAAGCGACCACGAATAAGAGTTTGTTTTCACGTTAAGAAATGACATTTTCATGAGAAAAATGCAGTAAAGCCGTTTTAATATGCAAGGTCCTGTAATAATCACGATTGTTGGGATTAAGCTCGGACTTGAAACATGTTTATCTTATAACGTCTTAACATAAGCAGGATGTAAATATTATATTCTACATGCAATTCACTCTGCAGACCAGCTAATGTTTATATATAGTTCATATACTACTGTCACACAGCGTAGTGGAAAGAAATTGCGTATTTACCACACAAAGCGTCGTGAGAGAATTATCCACCACTGAAATACTATGATAAATAAATGAACCTCCTTGTGTCTAACTTGGATGTGTCGAATTCCCGGTTGTGTCAAACTCACCTACCGGTCCCTGCTAATTCCTTCTATATTTATCATAATTTATTCTCGGATCTGTCGAACTGGGTGTTCGGATAACTCGTACTTTTTCCCTCGACACAACGAGGTTCGAATGTATATACGAGGGGTGTTCATTAAAGATTCCCCCTAAACCACTTAGGGTTATCATATTTGGTTGAAATTTCACATGTATAATGATACATGTATCTATGGGTTATGTCTGAATT